TTTTTTCTCCTTCTGGATCAGCCAGTCCCGACATCATTAAACTATAGTCCTCCTCTTCCTCCTCCTTCCTTCTCCCCCTCTCTGTCTCCCCCTCTCTTTTTTTTTTTTTTTATTTCAAAAAGGGGGAGTAGGGGGGGGGGGTGGCTGGGAGTGGGGGGGAGCAGACATAGCTGCATGAAGTGGCTGCCTTTTCGAAAGCACATTTAATCTTTCCTGGCTCCCCTAGGCTTCGATGAAGTAGAAGGGAAAGGAGAGGAGAGGGGGAAAGAAAAAATCCAGGCAAGGGAGGCTGTTGAGGGACAGCAAGCATCAGGCTCAAATCAACGACCAGATGAAAATGTACTAGACCACACTGCCCCCTCTCTTCCTCTCGCTCTGTCTCCGTCTCTCTCACACACTCTCACTCCTGGAAAGCTTCAGTGTCTGGTTACAGACTCTTTTGGATCCTTCCCCCCCCCTCCCCACCCTCGCCCTTTGCCAACTATCCTAGAGATTCCTTGCATGCCTACTTAAATCTTTAACAGAATAAGGACTCGGCTCCCCCCGCCGCCAGCCCCGCACACACACACTCACTCACACACACCATTCCCGGTCACCCCTCCCCAATAATCTCTTAAGCTCCCGGGAGAAACCCGCCGGCGCATCCCCGTCCCCGCCGCATCCCCGCCGGGTACCAGCCCCGGGACCCTCCGGGCAGCCGCTCCCGCCCCACGCCGCCTTCCTAAGGGGGTGCCGGGGGGCCGGAGGGGGGAAGGAGAGGGGGAAGCGGAGGGGCTGCAGCCCTTCGCCTTGCATCCCTCCGGCTGGCTCTGGATTTTAAAACAATAAAATCCAGCGCTGCTGCTCTCCCGGGTGCCCCCCGCTCCCCCCCCTCCGCCGCGCCGCAGCCGCCCGTGGAAATCGCACGCCCCACGTCTGCAGTGAGGCAGGGCAGACTGCCTGGCTCATGCCCGTGATGACTTTAGAGCTGACAACCTCCTCTCCTCGACCCCCCCCTTCCCCTCCACACCCACCCCTCCGCTCAATGGCAGCACTGCTGCCTCTCGCACCAGACTATATTTGCAATATGTGCTAATTTACCAGCTATATGCCCTTGGATTTTAAAATGAACTCATCAGTCAATGCTTCTAGTAGCGATGCTCGCTCTCCCTCTCCCTCACACACACCCTCCACTGCAGACATGTTACTCATTCTCCAAGCATTTCCTCTCCCAATGTCCGTCAGACGCATATACACTTCATTGATCAAACCAAATCCCCTGATAACAATAAATAATAATACAGACAGTTAACATCAGCGGGGAGCAGAGCGGGGAGGCGGGGGGGGGGGAGAGACAAAGATGACGACTAAATCTGCATTGTGCCTTAGGAGGCTGATCCCGGCGTTTTCCAGGGATGCTCCACACAATGCGGGGCGCAGGTACCCCCCGGGGCGAGCACACACCTCGTCCTGGGGGCCCTCCTGAGACCTCCCCCCTGTTTGCCCAAGCGTTCAGGCTGGTGATTTCTAATCCCTGAATCCACACAGGCTCCGAAAGGTGCTTGTGTAGGAACAGAAGGTGCTTCTGGCTACGAAGCACCTACCACAAAATACAGCAATAAATAAAGGCGGTTTCTTTGTTACGCTGTGCACTGCAGAGACGCCGAGGAATTAAAGGTATCCGGGCATCCAAAGACCCTGGGATGGGTCCAAAGGATTTTTAGAAACACCTTCTCAGCTCCCACTGAAATCTGTTTCCTTTGTACCGAAGACAGAGAGCACCTATGCAAGAAACCAGGTTAGGAAGACGGGCTACTAAACATCCCTCTGCTGCACGTGCCGGGTGTTTCAAGGGCTTTAGGGCTTCTGTGGCTTTATTTCCTAGTTTTCTGAGGCTGAAACAGGGGAGGAAGGAGACTGGGATTGCCTCTTGGGATTTTGGCTAGTTAGACATCTTGTGTGGGTCTGGCAAAGGGAAAGTGGCTGCAGTGTAAGTGTTCGGGAAGTTGGGGAGGGTGGGGCTATCTAGAAATCTTTGACTCACTGGGGTAACTCCCTGAGCACAGGAATCAAATTATTGCTCAAAGCAAACTGCATTTTATGAGCAGCAGCCTCGGAGTGAAATTCTGCATGCACACAGCTAAAATAAACACGTGGAAATAAATATACAATACATAATTAAATTATTGGGTGCAATGCAGAAGTCCCTGGGTGATGGAAGAGGTGGGATTATGCAGCAAAGTCAGTCTGGGAATCCACAGATACAAATTTTCTTATTTATACCAACATAATCCTGATTGGCATCAGCCTAGATAGGGGAAGAATCCAACCCTGTGTACTGAAGGATCTAATCTTTGGGAAAAGTAGACTGGATTAGAGACTGTATCTGCCAACCATCCTTTCACTCCCTTTAGATTCCCTCACCATCACAGCAAGATTTTGCCATCACACAGAACATTTTGCATCCATTGTCTCCTTCCTCTTCCCATATCTTCCTTCCCCCAAAAAAATGTTTGATTTTTTTTTTAAAGTTTTGCAGCAAACACATAATTTCTCTATACAATTTTACCAAGCCTTCGGAGGATACTTATTTCAAGCAGTTAACACCTGACCCCAATTTTTGTGGGTAATTAGTGAGCTAGATAACCACACAAAGTGGGTAATTATTTAGTACCCAAGGGTACTGTACAAGAGGGTAGAGGCTGGCAGTGTTAACAAAAGCACATCTCTAATTATTGTATCCATACTGGTGATGTTTTAAGAATAGTTACTCCATCTAATGATCCATGATAAATCACTAAACTATTTTGCTTCCCTTAGCATGTATCCAAGGGATGACCAGGATGTGAGGGCAAAGCAAATGGAAGCCCCGACTTCAAATATGTTCAAGAGAAGCACGAGGCATCCACTTGGAGAAGGAAGTAAGACTGGAAGTGCCTGCTCTAAACCAGCCTAATAACCATCCCTAATAGGTAACAGGTTGGTTGGGATGGCTTGAAAAGCCATGTAGGAAGCTTGTAGGGCATGGCTCAGGGGCTGCTTCCTGCTTAGGTAACGTGGCCACGCTGTTGGATCTTTGGATACAACCATAACCTTCATCATGTTTTACCAGAGTTCACTCTCGCTCCCTGAAAATCAATTTAAAGCTGTACAAATGAGGTGTCCCGTGTTTGGGGCAGCTCAGAAATGCCAGAGAGCAGCACTGGGGGGGGAAAAAAAAAATCCTATTTGATGAATTTTAATTCTCTGTCGTCTCCAACATTTATGTTGCAACAACCACATTTCTCCCATGGAAAATATTACATCCTTAGCTGAGTTTTTTCCTCAAATTTAAGAAGGAAGAAATGTGAACTATATTGAAATAGAAACCAAATAAGAAAGATTCAGCTGTCAAATACATACGAATCTCTCCAAGGTGGGTGCCAAGAGGATGGTGCCAGACTCTTTTTGGGGGTTCCCAACAACAGGACGAGGAGCAATGGCCATAAAGGAAAACACAACAAGTTCCAGCCCAACATGGGGAAGAATTTAGGGAGCAGAGCACTGGAACAGCTGCCCAGGGAGGGTGTGGAGTCTCCCCCTCTGGAGACATCCCAACCCCACCTGGACACGTTCCTGTGTCACCTGCTCCAGGTGACCCTGCCTGGGCAGGGGGGTTGGACTGAGTGACACCAGAGGTCCCTTCCAACCCCAACTGTTCTGTGACTGGGTGAAAAAAAATTTGGATTAGATCAGCAGAACCACAGGATAAGAAGTGTTGTGCTGGAAACAGAGCAGCACACACTCACTTTTAGGGCATCTTCAAACCAAGACATTACGCTCAGAGGAAAAGCACTTTCCTTTTTTTTAATTGCTTTTATGAATCATCACTGACATCCAGACACTTCATTTACTAGAGTCCAGTAACCCTGTTTTTCAAAGGCTCAAATTCCAAAACCTTAAGGGCCAAAAAAAAAAACCAAAACAAAAAACCCAGAGGTGTCATTCTAGTTTGATCACAGCAATGAACTCAGCTTGGTGCTTTGGGATCATCCAAGCCAGGCACTCCAGAAGAAAACACAACTGGCAGCATCACCTGGCCCTGTGACCACCAGGAATGTAAAATCTAAACAGAGAAAGTTTGAGGGGTTTCCACAACTCCTCATATTTCTCTATTGTTCTGTGCTTGGGGTTGTTTTTTCTTTTTCTTTTGAGTGAAATAACCACAACTGAAAGAGGCCCGAAAATTGTTCTTATGTTTAAAAAGGGGCCAAGTCTCTGCAGCTCATTTATAAATAAATAGAAATAAATTGGCCTCCCCCTCAGTGATCCTCTCAGGGACCTGGTTTGCAGCAAAAGTTCTTGCAGAAATGGAGTGAGAGGAAGTTTGCAGAGAGAAGCTGGAAAACAGAAAGGAAGAATGAATTTAATCACAGGGATGGGATCAAAGCAAGAAGAGACCTTGGTAGGTGCACAGTTAGAGCAGAAAGTAGAGAAAATACAAACTATTTCTTTCTTTTTTTTCTCAGATCAATTGGAATTAGCAATTCATAGGAGAAGGAATGTTCAGCCAGGGAGGAAGCTTTAGGGACTTAAGCATTAACTATAAAACCTTAAGGCCTTTCTGAGACAAGTCAATAACTTCACTCTAGGCAAACTACACAGAGATTACTTAGGAAATATCTCCAAAATAACACTTATAGCTCAGCTATAGGGACAGAATGCATGGGAATAGTTTACAAATTAATAAAATGTCTTCAGAGGAGTAAAAAGCATTTACCAATACAAACAAAGGACTCTAATGATGTGAGGAATGGTACAAATTCACAGTGTGGGGCACAGGCATGGAAAGCAAAACTGGGCAAAGGCATCATGACTTGGATATTTCCAGAACATCACTCTGTAAAGTGAGGAGCTCGACAACCAAAAGCTTCTAATTTGAACTTGACTGTTTTGTAGACCACTGGGCAATTCCACATCAAGTCAGTGATAAAAATCACTTCTTACCTTGCTTGCCCATAATACAGAACCATCACAACAATGCTCACCGTGTCCTGGGAGGGATTGAGGGCCTTGGAATAAAGCTGCTGTGTCCAGAGTGCTTTTGTCATCCCCATCTGATGCCCTGTTAGTGAACAGAGAGGATGAAGTGTGGTTGAAGATCGTGTAAATTCCATTTCACCACCACCAATTCCCTTTATCCTGGCTCACCCACCAGCTTTCACCTCCAAGCACTATCCTGACAACAACACAGCTTAAAAAGTGGTGGTTGTATTTTCTCCCCATTCCCCAGCTCTGAAAACAGGTTCTCTTTGAGCTCTAACTCTATCAGTCCCTGGATAATGAAGAACAATTGAAATAATAAGGTGAAAAAGCCATAAAAGAATTGATTTCCAAGGGAAAAAGCAAAGTGAGGCTGTGCTGTTCCCCTCCTGGAAAAGGCTCTGGGACACTGCACCCTCACTGAAACCCAAGTTTGGGGAAAAGGGAGAAGTTCAACAAAGGGCCAGCCAATATCCCAGAGGAATTCCAAAAGAAAGGTTACAGAGATTAATTCATCCCCTCTCAAAGCACGAAAGTGGGAACACTGTACCCAGAGTTCCGTGTGTTTTGTCTGTGGGGAGTCACCAATCTGCCCCCATCCGTGAGTTCTCCCAAACACAACAGATTTAAGTGAACTAAAACCCAAGGTGAAACTCCGAGTTATGTGCCTGAAATCATGCAAAAAAGTACTACATCTCCTCCTGAATGATCTTCCAATTCCACAGCACGGAAAGCACCTGAAAACCCCTCATATTTCACATGGTTTCAGGTCCACCCAAAGCTTCAAAGAAGACTCAATTCATGCAGAGCACAATGAAAGCTCCAAGAACCTCACTCTGATTTCAGATAAATCTAACCTGTTTTGGTGATGTAACTTCTTAAGATCTGATATTTTGAAATATATCAGTTATTAAGAGATGGAGTTCTATGAACACATTAACCTAAAAGGCTGCTACAAAAAAAAACACCTCTCTGGTCAACATTTAATGTTTTTTTTTAAACTTCACTTGGAATATCAATAGAATCATTGCACGAAAAATATGGTGTCTCTCAATGAACTCTTTCTTTTCTTTTCTGAAAAAGCCAGTGAAAATAATACCTGTTGAGGCTGTTCTATTAGAGCCCAAACTGCTGAACCCAAATTCAACTTCAGAGACACGCAGAAAGGTTGGGGACATTTTGGGAACCTGAGCTGGCGGGAAAAGTAGAAAATTAAATTGAAGTTAGATAGCCATGAGACTAAAAGCAGCACTAGAATGAACTGTATTTCAATAGGAAAGGAGTGCTGGGGTCACCTGTAAAGGAGAGACTGTAAATCACAGATTGGGGGCCTGCAGTTCACAGATCTTTTCCCATCTCCTCCAGGAATTCACTGTGGACTATTTTCAGTTCTCCCCTACAGAAAAAACAACACAAATTGATAATATAACTATGGCACCTAAGAAAGGAGTTGGGCCTCTGAGCCTTAATTAATGTTTGTAAAGAGCCCTGAGAGACTACAGGGACCTGAAAGAACCTCAAAGCACAGTAATTCCTAAACATCCCCTGATCTCTTGTCAGACTTCACCCTTCTCACCAGCACTTATTTCTTTTTCAAGAGAGGGTGGAATTATTTAAAAGATAAAACAAAGATATGTTTCCTTGGTTTTCTAGTACTACAGTTGACACAATTTAAAAAAAAAAATAAATTAACACATGAAGGCTTATTTCTCGCATTAAATAAATACATGTCTCAGGCACTGCAAAGGTAGGACACCAAAATATTTCCTCCAGCTGGTTGGGGGGTGCAAGGCACTGTTCCCTGCCCAGGGAGAGGCAGGAGCTGGCTCAGCAGCAGGCAGAGGAATCCCGGATCAGCCGTGCTGACAGTGGGGAGGATCCAACAGCCCTGCCCCTGTTCCAGCCCTGCTGCTCCACGTGCTCCATGGCTTGGGCAAACCTCTCCATCCCTGCTCCCTCTCCTGCCTGCCTGCTGCACTCAGACTGGGGACAGGGAGTCTCTCCTCGCAGGGTGACTCCAGGATGCCAAAGACATTTATTTAGGTGTTGCTGTCAAAGCAATAACAGGCCTGGGCACCTCGACCCGAGCCCGTCACAGCAGCTCCTGCTCAGCTGCTCCACTGGTGCTGAGAGCAGACTAAACAGCACAGAGCCAGGCATCCAGGGGGATGTGACAGACAGAATGAGTGTCAGGAGGCGAGGAAGACACAGCAGCCTCCGAGGACTCACATTTGGCCCATCAGACGCTGCTCAGTCCCTGCGTGCCAGGAATAGCAGCAGGAGCAGGCGCAGCAGCTCCCGGTGCCATCCACACTTCTGCATCACTTCACGCTGCACTGCAGGCTCTGCTGCACCCTAAACCCACAGCTGCTGGTTTCTATAATGCAAAAAGACAGCAGAACACTTTCACGAGATAGAAAATGGTGAAAACAAACAGAAAAATCTGAATATCCTACTCACTGTGATAATAAATAACATTAACAGGTTACTTAACTTACCGTGATAATATAAAACACTAACAGGTTACCTAACTTGCTATGATAATAAATAACATTAATTAGGATTTTTCAAGTGCAATAATGACCTTTTCAAGTTGATTTTACTTATAAAAATACTGCTAGATTACAGCCATTGTCAATTTTAACTCTGTAGAACCAGTGAATGGCTGTCAGCACAAAGGCAGTCCATCAGAAATATTTCTTCACAGAGATTTCTTCACTTGCAATTCCAACATGACTGTCCCCGAACAACTCACACAAGATCAGTTCCTCTGTCTTTACAACACTCCTCCTGAGGAACAAGGACCTCTATTTTGTAGGCAGGGAACAAAACCAAAGAAAAATAAGTGACTCATCCAAGACCCCACAGGGAGTCCAGGGCACAACTTCAGGGTCTGCACCAATGGTTTAATAAAGAAAAAGAAATTGTTTCACTCTAAGGGTAGAGGCTTTACCCCATTAATAATAAAACAGGACAAGCCCCAGGAGCTGTACACAAACCAGAATCCCTGGCAGTGGAGACAATATTAAACTGGCAAAGCTAATTCACCTGGTGTCTCTAAGAAATCCCACCTCGTGTTTCCCAGGAACAACTTCCACCAGCCACCGGAGTAAACACCAATTTCCTGGGAGCAAACAGAACCATGATCCCAATCCTGGTGCCCAGAGAAACCCCTCCCAACCCAACCTACACCTGGGATGGTTCAGTAACAGCCCCTAATTCTCATTATCTGACCCACACAGGTGGTCTCCTGCTTCCCTCTCCAACTCATTGTCCACACGGACCCAAGTGCAGCAGCAGGTCCCAAGTGACCATTTGATCACTTTCTTGCTTAATTGCCATTTTTAATTACTTGCTTGGCAACAACAAAAAGCCAGTCTAGCAATGGAAATCCATTCCTTGAACAACTTCTGCCTCTTTCCTCAGACACCAACTATTGCTCCATAAGCCATTCCTGATTAACGTGGGGCCCTCGTGGGAAAGCCACTGCCTGTCTCCTGGTTTCATTTCCTACGACTTCCCTCCTTCAGCTGACAACCCAAGTCCCTAAAAAGCAAGGGCAAAAGAGCCTTCATTTTATTGTTACAAGATGACAGTGTTTTTCCCCCTCGCTATTTTTCTTTCAGGAAGATATATTAGCACTACATTTGCTCCTCCATGTGGTGGGATTTCTTAAATAAAAACGTATGTTATATACGTATGAACTCGGGGCCAGAGCTGCATTAGCCTGGTAACTATCCACGTTTGCTTCAGACTTGGCCAGCCACCTAGAAAACCTGCCAAGAACCTTTCTGGCAGCCTTTTCCCAACAGTTCCAGGAAAACATGGAATATTCAAAGAATTTCAGGGCCTCCCGGCTTCGTTTGTCACCACTCTCCTTGCCCACTTAAAACCAAATCACAGGCAGATTGCTCTAATGCCCTATTAAAGATTTAAAAGTGGTCTTCTCCAGAGCAGGGTATCTGAGGACAGATCTGGGCTAATATATAATGCAAAACCCTCCTTCAGATGTGATGCAATGTGGCACCAGGCAGTGAGGGAGCTGCTTTACAAACTTGGAGCTTCCCGAGTGAATTCCGTCCTTCTTGGAGCTTCTAAACCTCCCTCGGACACCCAGGCAATGTAGAGACTCATTTTGTCCTTGTTGTTACTCCAGCAATGGCTTCCAATGGACAGAGGGGAGGTTTAGATGGGATATTGGGAAGAAATTCTCCCCTGGGAGGGTGGGGAGGCCCTGGCACAGGTTGGGTAGAGGGCCCTTGTATATTTATTAAATGCTGTAATAAACTAAATATCAAAATAAATAGGGAATTATAAATATATTTATAATATCATACACCATAAACTATATATTATTATATATTCCTAAAAATAAAAATAATATTGCTGATCAGTAACTTCCACCCTAAAACCAACAAACAGACCCGATTCACAGTCTAACTACATCATTACCAACACAGTAAGTAGTGAACACTGATTGTATTTTGTCCACTAACACCTCCTCTAGTTTAGCTTCTCATTCACTAATTATTCCCACATTCAAATGAGGGGAAGCACGTGACTGAACTATCTTAGGGCTCTTAGTTCTTCTTTCACATTTCAGAAGCCATTGGAAGGGCACTTTCTAAAATCAACTCAAACCACAAGATCTGTAGCAGACAGCAATCGAGTCTTACCTTCTTCCCTTCCAATTTCCTTCCTGTTTTTCCTTCTCTTCCTCTTTTTTTTTTTTAAAATCCCATCCTCCAAATCCAACAACCTCCTTTATGAAAGGAAATGGGAAGCCAAGGGGAAGCTGTGGCAGCTGACAGGCTGCAAACACCACTATTGCAAACCACTCTCTGATGCCACAACTGCTATTTGTTGTCAGAGGAGATGAGAGGCCACTTCAAACACAAGAAAAACAAACTTTTCAATAAACCCACCCCAGTGCCATTAATCCCAGAATGGGTTTGACCTGCTGTTTACAGCAATTCCTTAAATCTCACTTAAGCCAAGGAATACAAAGGGCCTGCCTACACTCTGCAGGGGCTGCAGTGACCCCAGACCCAGCACCAAGCACAGATCTCCAGCCAGGATCATCTGGGAGTGAAGATCAGCTCTGACCTCACACTGGACAGTGGGTGTGAAGGCAGAGCCAGGTGTGACCCCCCTCCCTGCTTCTGGGACTTTTATTACTCCTGGCAATACCAGGGTTCCAAGAAATGGGGAGGGAAAAGGTCACAGCATATGTTTAGATGCAGCCCTCAATCCAACTGACCTGGCTTTTGTACCCAGCCCTCCAATAACACACTGGGGTAAATCACTCACCTTCCTCTGCTTTCCTTTCTGGACAGGGGACACTCAATCCTTTCCCACTGGAAAGGAGTTATTCAGTGGTCCATGCTTTTGAATAACTATTATTAACACTGCAGTATTGCAGTTTTTCAAGAGATGAACCCAAGTGAAGGACAAACATCTATCAACCCTTCCCTTTTCTTTGCCAGTGGCAAACTATGTGCTTAATCCTGTGCAGGGGACATATATAGACTGGGCCAGAATCCAGCCTTCTCCAACATACCTCCTCTAATAGTGACAAGTATTAACAGCTTGGGACAGGCCAGAGCTGTCCTTCCCTCTGGTTTTTCCCTGGGCTTGAAGTGCTGCACCTCATCCTAAACCTTGAAACACAAACTCTGAACTCCGTTCTGAAGTTTGCATAATGAATTACCATAATTTTATGGATGGTTATTAAAAACACAAGTATCTAATCTGTTCTAGACTTGCAAACTTCCCATTAACTTCTAAAAGCAATTAGGCTCCTTTCCTAATTAAATACTGGTGGGAAAGAATTGCTTTATGAAACATTTTCCATTTGTCACCATTTAATTTCACTACACGTCTCCTTGCACTCACTTTGTGGAACTATGAGATTCTCAGTCTTCCCTTTCATTTTAACATTGATTTGGTTTTCCTTTCTAATGGGAACATTTCCCTGTAGCAGTTTCAGATTTCTCCCTGCTTTGGACCCTTTTTGCTGGCACTTTTTTGAGCCACTCTTTGTCTTCTCAGATTGGGTAGAACAGCTGCTGTGCTCTGTCTTTGGGCCCAAAAAAATATAGACAGTACTCAGAGGATTTTCACATTAGTGTTGAGCAGGGGTTTATCCACTCCAATTTTATAACAGGAGCAAGACCTTAAATGTTCATAAAAACTTGCATTCATGGCTTGAGTTATATCTCCACTCCATCTAGGAATAACAAGGTCCACTCACCCATCAAGAAGTCAATGAGTAAACAAAATAAAAAGAATAAATCTGTCTTTCCTGACCGTTTCCTTCCTGTTTGTGGCTATTCTGGACACCAGCAGTTGCAAGAATTAAAAAAAAATGCCCCATTCACAAAAATACTCTCACACTACAATGGCTGGGCACGACACTAATGCATCACTGTTAATTATAAATGACTTGAGCCTGACATTTGCTTAATACATCATGAGAGCCATAATGAAATCTGTGAGCTGTGTGTCACACCTGGAACAGGGACGAGATGAGGGAAATCACCAGGAAGGAAAAGTGGCAGCAGGGGGAGTCAAAGCTGATGCAAATCCCTCCTCACTGACCCAACAGAGAGCCCCCAACCCCAACATGAGGCTGCCCCGACACGGGAACCTTCCAGATGATCTTTGAGGTCCCTTCCAAGCCAAACCACTCTATGATTCTGTAAGAACACAGGTGGAAAACAGAAATTATAGACTCAGTATTAGCTACGCCCACACTGCTCCCCAACAGGACTCTTCCAAGGGGTCTCGAGGGCAGGTGGTGGGAAGGAGGAGCCACTGCATAAAACACAGAAGAATTTCAATTTCTTTCCATATCTGCCCCAGAAACCTGATTCTCCAACTTATTTAACCAAGAAACAGGGCCATGACATTGCACAAAGAGGCTAATTTCACCCTATAGCCTGTACAAATTATTTGCTCGGGGAGAATACGTTTTATATTTTGAATATATAAATCTAAATATATGCAAGTGGGACTGCCTGGAGAATGAGAGGAGTCAGAGCAACCAAAAGTTTTGTATTCTTTAAAGAACAAAAGAAAAAAAATAAAAAGGAAGGGGGGGATTGTTCCCAAATAAAGCATTTTAGATCTTCCTCTGCTATGGGAAATTTCCAAACATCAGATTTCCCTTGTTCCAGTTTAGACTGGAAGCTTTTCTCACCAGGTTAAATCCTGCTAGTCCAACCCCACACATTACATGAGTTTGTCTCTGGCTGAAGTCTGAGGGGATACAGGACTCAGCTCAAAAACTCCCACTGGAAATGCTGAACTTCACCTGGTTTCACACCTAAACAGCCAAGCTTTGAAAAGGGAAAAGCAAGAACGAGAAGGAGAAAG